CTGGAACACAGACTAAGTAATGACCTCTTGCCTCAATGTGCCAATGTCAGTTAGGATGGCCGCGTGTCCCTGGGCCCTCACACCCCTTCTCCACCCCCGGACGCTAACCTGCAAGCCTGCCCCACCCCGGTTCCCAGCCCGGGAGGGCTGTGTGTGGACACTGCACATGCGCCTTGTCAGCAGAGCAGACCACTGCAGCTCAGGGTCTGGAAGAAACATGGCTTGGAGCCTGGCCCAGGCCTCAGTGGCCATCCCTCCCCACCACACGGGGTGAGGTGCAGTGCCCGAGAGCTTGAGGTGGGCAGAAGGCTGCCACCAGCTCCCACATCAGAAGCGGGGAAGGGCAGAGGTGCGGCTGGGCCTGGAGGGGGTTTACAGCTCGTCTCTCGGCTCAGCCTCTGGTCTCTTGGCTAAGCCTCATTCTTCGCTTTAGCTACACGCCTGCCCTTCCTGCTGCACCACAGAACTCACACGGCAAAGGGGAGGGGTATCTGTCAGTCAACAGCTACTGAGCAAGTGCCAGGGAAAGCACAAGGGGATGTCAAGTCCCAACAACTTCTTGTTTCAGGAACTGAGTCAGAGAGGCGAGAAAAACCTGTGTGAAGGCTCCCAGGAAGGCTTTCTGACCACCACACAGTCGCCGCTTCCACCGGGCAGCGTTTCACAGACTGCCCAGTGCCCCTCACACATGGTTTCATGTAAGGAGGGAAACACATGGGACAAATGTCAGAAAGACATCGAAGAGGTCCCAGAAGTCAGGTTCTCCTCACTGAAAAGTAAAAGTGAAATTGTTAGTCGCTCTGTCCTGTCTGACTCTCTCTGTTCCCGTGGACTGTAGCCTGCCAGGGTCCTCTACTCCTGGGATTCTCCAGGCAGGAAAACTGGAGTGGGGAGCCATGCCCTCCTCAGGGGAGCCCCACGGCTAACTGAGCCTGTGTGAACTTCAGGCGGAGGAGGGGGAGAGGTGATCCTTGGCCACGAACCTTCCGTGTTTAGTGGGCTTCTCTCAACAGATCAGTATGTAGCAACAGAGGGCAAATGGATCATGTGCACTGCTAAAATAATTGGGCCAATACAAAAAACCTGCACACAATTGGAAGCTAATGGAATCCTGAGTGGTCAGCAGCTTTGGGGATTACAGACAAGAAGCTGAAATGAAAGCTATTTGAGGCTGACTTATTTTTCAATTTTGTGAACATCGTACAGTAACCAAATGCAGAACAGATACTGATGTGGGTTTGAGGTAAGTGTGGAAGCAACTGATATCAGGATATGTTTTCCCAGAAGATCAGTTTAAATCATTGTCTGGCCCAGGCCCGAGGCATCAGAAACAACAGAATAACAAACTAGAGAGGCTGGAGCCAAACGCGGCCTGAAGGGTTGGTGATGGAGCCTTCCGGCTGGTAAAATGTGCTTATTCACACCTGACAGCTAAAGCATCTTGGAAAAGTTATGAGTCCTGCCTTGAGTCACTCAGCTAAACTGACAGAGAGAGGGGAGAAGGTAGTTGAGACTATCAACTCAGGCCCTGGGGCCACTGCTCTGCGGCCCATCCAGCCCAGGGTGCTGGCTCTGACTGAGGTAACAATGACAGAGTCAAAGACGCCCTGAGAAGCACACGCGAGGTGGCGATGAGATTTCGTCTGTGTGGTGCATCTTACTCAGGGGCTTTTCACACACGCTTTCTCCTCTTTCCCCAGTGTGCGTGCTTGATGGGCAGGGCAGGTGACGTGACGCTGTTATCACTGACTCACTGATGATGACGCCCAGCCATCTTCAGGCCCCGGTGTGACCACCAGCACTCACTGAAGCAAAAGCGTCATCGAGAAATTCTTTTCCTTCAGGGTTTCCAAAGAACATGAGTATCTGTCCTGTCCTCTGACCTCTTGGCCCCACTTCCAGTCGACTGGCCACGATTAAGGGCTGACCCTTGAGAATCAGGCCTCCTGACCCCGACAGGCTGATGGGCAACTCCTGGACCACAAGGCGAGGAGAGGCGCTGGCCTCTGCACCCTTTAGTGTCCACTTGGATCACCACCACGGCCTCTCAACTGGCTCTCTCCCCACACTGTTTCCTCTCGCAGCTCAGCCCAATGCCTGGTTAATCTTCTAAAAATGCCAGTTTGATCATTCACTCTGTTTCAAAATGCGCCTCTGTTTCCAGAGAGTACACACCAAGGGCTCTCTTTGCCTGACATTTAAGACCCTCCATAACTGGACCCAACTGTAACCTTATGTTCTTGTAAAAAAAAATAGTAATAACAATACCCATAATAATAATAGCTATCATTTTATTTAGGAACTTCTAAGGCTAAGTGGGGCTTTCCAGGTGGCACTAATGGTAAAGAACTTGCCTGCCAGTGCAGGGGATGTAAGACACGAAAGTTCGATCCCTGAGTGGGGAAGATCTCCTGGAGGAGGAAATGGCAACCCACTGCAGTATTCTTGTCTGGAGAAAAGGACACAGGAGTCTGGTGGGCTACAGTCCATAAGGTTGCAAAGAGTCAGACACAACTGAAGCAACCTAGCACGCAAGGCTAAGTATTCTGTGTATTACATAGACACTGTTAGTTACTGACCAGCACCCACACTCTGTAGCTAACAGAACCTGGATTTGTCTGGCAGCTCGTGGACGTGGCTCAGACAATAGATCAGGAATGGTCTAAGTCAGTGATTCTCAGAGTTCAGTCCCAGAACAGCAGCATCATCAACTGCTGGGAACGCGTTAGAAATGCAAATTCTCAGGCCTCAGCCCAGGCTTGTTGGGGGTGGGGCCCAGCCATCTGCGGCTTAACAAATCCTCCAGGGGCTTCTGTTGCTCACTCAGGTTGGAGATCAATGGTCTGAACAATCGAGATCCTATTTCCCAGCTTGGGGGTGACTTTATGACTCAGTTCTGGCTCATGATGCCAATGTGAAAAGCTGGGGAAGAAGAGGTGTCCTGGTAAAGGTTTTATTTTCCTGATGAAAAGGAAGAAAGGCACCCCCCGACGACCTGGCACAGTATAAAACTGCAAAACACTGCACTGTGCCCCAAGCCCAAACTTTACTTTGTCTTTTCCTCAACTTTATTTTTCCTTCATACCACTTAGGGCTTCTTGACACAAGATGTATCTATCTGTTTACTGTCTGTCTCCTCCCACAAAGGTGAATCCAAGGGCGGGCAGGACTCTGTCAGTCATGTTCACAACCATATCCAGTGCCTACAATGGTGTTTGGCAAAGTGTGATCACTTGATACGTGTTTATCAAACGAATGAGTGCAGCTGTCTCCCTGATTCTTTCTCTTTTTTGCTTTGAGCAAGGAATTGATGGCTGCAGCTGTGGCAGCCACCTTAGGCCAAGAAACAAGAGGATCTCAGAAAAATTGGCTCTGACATTGTTGAGCCATCAAACCCAAACCAGCAACACTGTGCTCTGAGCCTTTTGTTTCTTAAGAAAACTAAATCCCTCTTTTGTTTTCACCACAGTAGTCATGTTTTTTATCCTAGCAGCCCCATACATTACTAACTCATATATTTAATCATTCAATCTCTGTAACAAGAACCTAATTTTTGGTGAGGAAACCAAGTCTCAGAGAGGTTAAGTAATTTGCACAAGATCATGTACTCATTAAGCTGTTGTTCTTGTCGGAAACGCCCCCCTTGCTGTCTAAATTCGTCTTCCAGGTCCTCTAGGCTAAAACTTCTGTGCTGTACTCCTGGGTCGCTCTAGCTCACCAACATCTGTCTAAGGCTAAGCTGGTGGAGCCTGAATCATCTGTCCAGGAATTACAGATCATGAGTCTTGCTTTCCTAGGCAGACTATTACACCCTTATGGACAGGCACCGTACCGTGTTTATGTCCTAAGCGGCCTTTCCTCACACGTCTGCTGGCAACAGTTTCAGGCGCAAGTGGGTGCCAGTACCTTCCTGAGCAACCACGACCCCGACGTTTAACCTCTCTGTTCTCTGATCCTCTCACCTGAAAGTCAGAGCATTAGCCTGGCAAGTTCCAGATTTGTAAGACAGAATGGACTTTGCTTAGTACCACAGAGTTAAGAGAGAACTAAGAGGTAATGTCTCAGGTTGCTAGTACTCCCAGGACGAGATAACACAACTCTGTCTACCTGTGACGTCTGTGACAAAGAGCCTGGTTGGGTAAAGGGCATCAAACATTTGCCGCGTCACTGACATGTGAGTCTAGATGAACAGAACAGATGGCCCCGCCTGGCCTTGAGGTGCAAGAGCTTAGAAAAAAAGAATTGGCTTCATGGAGAAAATTCCCTTCCCATCTAATCTTGCAGACACAGCACATAAGGAACAGCCCAAGATGATGACCCAAAGTGGATGGTAATTTACGTCTTCCCCAGAACGGCATAAAAGGCCCTTCTTGCTCTGGGGAAGGAAGAGCCAGGTTTTGGTTTCTGAAGACACTTGGGGGCTTCCAGGGAAGATGAGTGCCGACAGGGAAATGCAGAGCTGAAGCCACAAGACAGGCGTGGATGGAGGCGTGGCTGTAAGAGGCACAGAGGACTGACAGAAGCCTGGGTCTTCCCGTCGGCGGGGGGCTGGGCGGAGCGAGCCTCCAAGCACCCCTAAGCCTACATTCTGGAGCTATGTGCTGCCCTCTGCTGGCCAGCCTCAAGCGCACAGCCTGTCGGGGCAACTGGCAGAGGGGCCTGGAGCACGCCCAGCCTTGCCCTGGGACGACTTCCCCCTCAGCTTCACATCCAGGTCTCCGCTTTCTTAGTTTTGGATCTGGCTCACTTTGATAGGTAGAAAGAGTCTTTTTTTTTTTCTTTCCCATAGCTAGCAAAGAAGGAACAAGGCTTTATCTTTAAATTCTCTTTTTAGTATTAGAAGGTGTAAAAGTCAGAATGATAGAATTTGAGCTGAAATCCTAAAAAAGTCATGCAGTCCTTACCAGGCTTTAATCCCGTTTGCTGGGTTTTACGTGCCTCACCCCATCTCTCCCCCTCCTCACTCCCGCCTCCCTTCCACTCCGCGGCTTCACTCACTCTCAGACGCCCCTGCTCGGCAGTTCTGAGGGGAGCGACTCTGCCACCCTGGCCCGTTTGCTCAGCTCTCCACCAGGCGGCTCCTCCGCTGCCTCCAGTTTGCGCTTGGGAGACGCTGGGCCCCCGGGCAGTGGTCTTGGGCCTGGAGGAAAGAAGGTCAGTGTCACACGGACGCATGTGTTCAGCCAACATGACCCTCAACTGTGCAGAGGCTGCTCTTTAGGGGGCAGGGAGACTGCTCCTCAGACCCAATCCCCTCCTTTCAGCAGTGACCGCCTGGAAATATCTGAGGAGAGCATGACCAGGCCTGAAGGCAGCAGTGCCAGCTCTGGGCCCCAAGTCCCAAGGGCTACAGGCCAGAGACGATGGGCCTGGCAGCTATCCTTGCTCAGGGACTGAGGCCTTCCCTCTGCAACCGGCCTCCCGAAGCTGGGATGAGCACACTCTCCCCTGTGGAGCCCAGCTGGCCAGGCAAAGTAAAAAAAGCTCTGTAGTTCTCTACAGTCCGAACTTGCCAGTCTTCGCCCCAGAGCTGAAAGGCAGAGGTTAAGAAGGGGGCAAGTCTGCCTACCCCTCTCTCCTGCCACCTCCTGCCTGGACGACTCGTTGCCCCTGTCCAGCCTCCCCGTCCTCGGGGGTTCCTGCCCACACTGTGCTCTCCACACACACAGAGCAGGCAGAGTGAGCTCTTTAAGTCACAAAGCAGTCACGCCTCTGCCCTGCTGATCCCATCAGCGCCTTCTCCCTGCACATGAAGGAATGCTAACCCTCCCCGTGGACGCGGAGTCTACACGGCGCTGCTCCGGCTATCCATCCTCGTCTCGCTCCAGCTCGTCACTCAGGACATGCTGGCCCCACTGGCCTCCCTCCTCTCATTCCTGGGACAGGCAGCTCGATTCTGTCTCTGTGTCTTTTCTTGCTATTCCCTTTGCCTGGGATGCTCTTCCCCTGTTCTCGAAAGGCTGGCTCTGCTTACCACATGGGGCCCTCCACCTAAAGTCACCCCCCTCCCCAGCGCTCTTTTAACAGGTCATTCGACTTCACTTCCCCGCAAAGCACTTGGTATCTGACATGATCCTGCATGGTTCCTTTACCATCCGTGTCCCCAGGGGGAATACAAGCTCCACCAGGGCATGAGTGTTCTGGTCTCCGTCCTCAGCCCCCCGTGACTGAAGTGAGGGTGGCTCTGCAGTGCCCCTGGGACGGGCACAGGCCCCCGGAGGCCAGCTGTACTCACCCGCACTGCTCGAGCTCCCCGCCTGGCTCAAGCTGGGCTCCGCAACTGGGTTGCTGAGATCTTCCACACAGGAAGGGACAGACGCCAGTAGACCTGGAAGGAGGTGGGGAGTAATTGGAATGCAAACTCACAGGACTGCACAGGGTCCCAGGGCCAGTGAGGACAAGACAGCGGGGGGTCCTAGGTTCTGTCTCTCTCCACTGGCTGCAACTAATTCAGGCCAGCCTGAGCGGCCTGTGCCCAGGAAGTCAAGTCAACAGCCTGAAAGGCAGTGCTCGGCAGTGTCCCTCTGCAAATATCTGGGAATCCCCATCCCCATCCCCACCCCGGGAGCCTGGAGGTGCTGTCCCCTCTGTTCGGGGATGAGGGGATGGTTGGGGGGTGGCTCCTTACAGAGTCCCCGGTAGCGGGAGAGCTGCTGGTAAACCTGCTTCATCCGCTCGATGTTGAGCCGGCTGGCCTCGGCGTGGTTGACGATGGGCCGGGGGTAGTCCACACCAATGACACACTTGGCTGCCTTCTGAATGGACTCTGGGGCGTTCCAGGGCTCGTAGATGTACCGGGAGGGGAACCCTTTCAGTTTGGGCAGGTATCGCCTGAAACGCACCCACCAGATGACCTGTCAGTGCGCTGGAAGCCTCCTTCAAAGGCCAAGTGTCTGTCACCGGAGGAAGAGGCTGCAGTGGTCAGAGAGCCTGGTCTGCATCCTCACCTGATGTAGTCTCCACTGGGGTCTGTGCGGCGGCCAAAGCCCACCGGGCAGTAGCAGTGGAAGAACTGCTGGAAGAAAGCGCTGCAGGACAGCCACATCCAGCTGCCGGCGTTCACGCTGAAATCCGCATCCAGGAGCAGCTCATCGAACACCTAGATGCAGGCAGGAGAAACCATGAGCCTCTGGGGGGCCTATGACCATGGGTCTCCCCCCATTACCACATGCCCCCTGGAGAAGGGCGTCAAAGCCTTCTGCTGCGGGCAAGCCAAGAAGGATCTGGAAGGAATTTCCTGGATCCAGGGGTCCCAGCCCACCCCCCAGCCCCCAAGGGGGCTGCCCGCTGAGAGAGCACTCACCCGGACACCGCTCTCCCAGCTGACCCAGAGGTCTCCACGCGTGAGGAAGCAGGCGACGGCGTGCCGGGCCAGGTGATGGATCCAGCCCTCCTGCCTCAGCTGGGTCATGATGGCGTCAATCCAGGGGAAGCCTGTCTTGCCCTCGGCCCACTTGGCCAGGGCCTCGGGGTTGCGATCCCAGGGGATCTGGATACAGATGGGGTTCCCCTCCATGCGGTCGAACCTGGGGTTGCTGGTGGCTGCTGTGTAAAAGAACTCTCGCCACAGGAGTTGCCCAAATAGGGAGAGCGGGGGCGTGCTGTTCCGCTTCACCTGGGGGCGGGGACGGCACAGGTACAAATGTGGGCCCCGCCCCGGCACCACTCAGGCCTCCCCACGAAGGAATCTGGAGCTGCCACCTCCACGCTCATGCATGGAGGGGCCATGCCCTGGGAAACATGGCAGAGGGTGCCCGCAGACTGAACCCGGCGCCCTGGCTGTGCCCACTGCTGCTCTGAGCACCAAGAACAGCTGAGGGTCGGCAGGAAGTGGAAGGGGCAGTGCTGCGGAACTCGGAGCTGGGAACCGAGCTCCCCAGGCTGGTCATGACCCTTGTCCTCAGGGGCCCCTGTGTAGCTCCACTTTCTAAAGCGTCAAAAGGAGTTTTTCAACAGCACAGACACAAAAATGCTCAGTCTAGATTTTGGTTAAATACGTGATGCCCAACAGCCTGGATCTGGGGCCATGAGGGACCTAAGACATCAGACCTTCAAGCGAATGATGCGTGTATGCTAGTCACATCCAACTCTTTTCAACACTATGGACTGTAGCCCCAGGCTTCTCTGTCCCTGGGATTCTCCAGGCAAGAATGCTGGAGTGGGTGGCCATGCCCTCCTCCAGGGGATCTTCCCAATCCAGGCATCGAACCTGTATCTCTTGTGTCTCCTGCATCGGCAGGCAGATTCACCACTGTGCCACCTGGGGAGCCCCAAGGGAATGATAATTTTCCTAAAATCACAAGATTACCCACTGAGCTGGCAAGGCTACCCCAGGCCACAAAATCTGGATACTGGCAATAGTAAAGACACATGAAACAATGCAGATTCAAGGATGATCCGATGAATCTGAAGAGCTGGAGGTGTGGCCCTCTCTCTTTGTGGGGGCGGGAACACACAAGGCACCCTGCCTGTTGCCCCATCCAGCCCTGCATTCGGCCCTCTGGCTACTTCCTCATCACTGATGGGCAAGCGCCGCGAGACGGTCTGGACACCGCCCCGTAGCCGGCCACGGTGCTCCTCACCTCAGGACTGGCTCCAGCCTTGCCCACTCTGCCTCCCACCCTGCGGGCTCAGTCCTCAGCCCCCTGCTGCTGGCAGCGCTGCCACCCCAGGCTCGCACCCTGAGGTCGGCCAGTCCGGCTCCCCTTGAGAAGCTGGATTTGGTTTCCGTCAGAGGCTGGGGCTGTGCTTGGCTCTGTCACCTCTCAGACGTGGCCTCCTCCCCACTGTCTCTGGACAGTACCCACACTTCAGCCTGAGGGAAGGCCTCCCTGCAGGCCCAGAAGACCCCGGTCCTCTCGGCGGCACTCACCTTCTTGTACAGGTCCCACAGGCGGTAGTAGAAGAGACGGCAGGAGAGGCAGCCAAAGCGCAGGTAGGGGCTGAGGCCCGTGGGGCTGGCCAGCAGCGAGTTGGCGTTCATCCGGGGCCTCTCATAGTTGGCAACCCAGGCCTGCAGCAGGAAGAGAGGGCGGAGGAAGGACAGACTGGGATGCTGCCGAGGAAAAAGCCTGATGCACCCGGTGGTTAAGGAACCTGCTTAAGGTCGTAGACCAGAAAGCCACGGAGCCAGGACAAGAGTCCTGTGCACGTCCCACCCCTTCGGGCTGGCACAATTTCTGATGGAACCACCACCGACCAAACAAAGGGGCCCAAGTTCTTACCCTGACTCCGTTTAATTTGTGCTACGACTGTAGTAAGTTATTTAGTCCCTCAGCGACTTTTCTATTACATGAGAAGAAAGTTTCCCACCTGCTGGAGATTAAATAAACTGACAGATCTGAAAGTTTCTGAAAGCACGGAATGGGCCACGACCCTACAGAAGGAAGGAATCGGGCTCCCACGTCACAGAAGAGGACCGGGCTCGTTCAGCCCCCGTCACAGGCGCCCTGAGGCTGCTGAACAGACTCGCCCAGGCCCTTCCGCCCGCCGCTCACAGCACTGAGAAACCCACTGCTGCGGACCCAGAGTCATGAACTGCGGGGGTCACGTGTCTCGTTTCTCTCATCAGCAGCTGCTGGCAGGGTGCTTAACCTCCACAACTCAGGGACACCTGTTCTCTCATTTGCTATTAACAATCCTGTGAGGCAGCATTTGTCACCTCCTTTTGAAAATGAGGAAATAAGGCTAAGAAGCGTTACATGACAGCTGGGGTTACAAAGATGGTAAGAGACAGGGCGGAGGGGCTGACTCCAGTCTTTAACACTCCCTCTAACAACTATTTTCTTTCTCAATTCCTAATGCCCTCTTGTTCTTTGTGAGGACTATTTCACAAACTTATACCCTCTTGAGACCTCCAATTCCATACTTACCCACCCCTCTTCAGCAGATGACCTTCTTTCCTCATGATAAGGAAATGGAAGCCATCAGGTAGGAAACACCTCAACTTTTAGCCACCAAATCTACAGACTCACCTGCACCCACCCCCGCTGCGACCCTGCCCAAGGCTAAGGCCCCCACCTGGCTCTGGAGCCCTCCTCCATTCCTTCTTGCACACATCCCACCTCTCCTTCTCTTCCGTGTCCACTCTAAGAACACTGGGGAAATGGTCTCGGTTCTTTGCAAACAAAACAAAAACAAATACCTTCCGGTCACCCTGCAGACTCCCTCTGCATCCTCCTCCCTCCCTTCACGGCCAGCCTCACTCTATTTCCTCGAACCCACCTCCACGTCCCCCTCCACCACTCCCACCAGAGCCTCCATGATGTCCACGCCACTGAATCCTGTGGGCATTTTCTGTCCTTTCGTTTCTGGACCTCCCAGCCACTCACCCTGCTGCCCGCGCCCCCATCTCCACACCCACCATTCCAGTGACCCCGGCCACCACTCACCTGCTTGGCCATTCACGTTTCACCAGCTCCGCCGCGCCTCCCAACCCCTTCAGTGTTGGCGTCCCAGGGCTCCGTCCTAGGGCCTCTCCTGCACTGTGCTCCAGCTGAGTTCATCCTGCCCCGTGGACCCTCTAAGGCTATTTCCTTGCAGACAATCACCACGACTCTTATCTTGAACCCCAACTGCGACCTAGACTCCCAAATCACCCTATCCAACTCCCTGTCAGAGATAGCCACTTGATTGACTTTCAGGCCTCAAGGGTAGCAGGCTCTTTTCTTTAAACTGCCCTTCCATTGGCATGCCTTGCCTCAGAAAGTGCATTGTCATCCACCTCGCTGCCCAAGCCAAAAGCCTGGCCATTACCTTTACCTGCCCTCCCTCACCAGGACATGTCAATCCTACTGTCCAAGTATTTCTCCACTCTGTCCTTTTCTTTCCATTCCCTATTGCCATCGACCTGGTTTAGGCTAAGACTATCTATACTGGACAACTGTGACAGCCTCCCACCTGCCTCTCTGCATCAGTTCTTGTCCCCTCTAATCCACTGTCCACACTGGGAGCAGAGTGGTTCTTTAAAATGTCTGTCCCTGAGGGCAACGCCTGCACCAGGCCTCCTGGTGTTCTCAGGCTAGAGTTCCAAATCCTAAATAAGGCTCACAAGCACCCTGCAGTCTGCAGGAGGCCCATGTTTCTAGCTTCCTCCCTCACCACTCTTCTTGAAGCATTATGCTCTTGCTAGCCTTTGCACACGCAGCTCCCTTTCCTTGGTTAATTTTGACTCTTCCTTCAAGCCTCAGCCTCAAGGCCACCTTCCCAGCAGGTGATCCTCAGGTATTGGTTAAACACCTCTGACACAAGGTGTATTTGCCTGCTCACATCCTTGCCCACCACTCTTTGAAAATCTTTTTAAGTGAAACATAGATACAAAAGCACACCGATGGGTGGCTTAATGAATTATTCCAAGGCAAATGCCTCTGCAACCACCACCAAAGTTCAAGAATCAGTACCTTGCCGGCCACCCCAGAAGCCCACCTACATCCTGGCCAGTCAGGTCCCTTCCCTGCTCCATCAGTGACCACCTGCCCAACTTTGTTAATAATCAAGTCCTGGCATTTAAAAATGTTTATATTTTTCTGTTTTTGCAAAGCACATTAGGAAGGGAGGGCTTTATCTTTTCAGTTAGTCCTTGCATTTTTAAGTGTTTTCTATTCTTTTTTTCATCCAAATATACATGCCTAGGCACATTTTGTTTAGTCTTGGTCATGTAAAAGAGTTTGACGTGTTATTTATTTTATTCTATGCATTTCCTGCCATTTCCTTCTTTTCCTTTTAGATTTCTTGTAAAAGAACTCAAGACCTTTGACTTGTACTAACTCCCACAACACAGGATTTCCCTGTGTTCTTATGGGTGCAGTTCAACGCATTCCTCTGGCCTACGTGCTGCTTGCAGACTGGTGGCTGGTACCAGACTGGCTTGGACTCAGGTTTCCTGTCTTTGCCAAGACTACAGGGGGAGCATGCCTGACGGCCGCTATCCTTGGGGTTAGCAGTCATTAGTGAATCACTAGGGGCTGCAAGATTCCATTGTTCCTTTTTCATTTAATAACTGGGACACTTTTGCGGAGAGATGCTTGCCCTCAGCTACTGCTGGGTAACCCACTGGTAAAGATCATATTGTTTGGCCCCCTCTTTCTGGTAACAGCACTTAATGTTCTTGTGGTAACCCAACCCTTCCCCAATCTCAGTTCAAGTGGGTAAAGTAGAGCTAAGCCCACCTCGGACTCTGGGAGTGGGCTCAATACCAGATATCCTCAGTAAGAGAGTATCTGTCCTCTTACCCACTGACCTCTTAGTAAGAGGACACACAGATGGAAAAAAAGCAATCTAGCCCAAGTTTTAGAACCATGTAGAACAAGATCTCACTCTGCTACTTAGTAACTGCGTGACCTCAGGCAAGTTACTTAACCACTGGAAGTCTTGATTTCCTCATCAGTAAAATGGAGAGCTTAATACCTACCTTGTAGGGCAGATGGAAAGATGAAAGGAAATAGCAAAGCAGGTGCTAGACCTAGAAATGCTCAGCCCATGACCAGTCCATGGTGTGAGCACTCACTAAGTGGTAGCTGCTCTTGTTGCTGTTATTGACATAAAGACTTCTTCAGCCAGCTTGAGTTAAGAGGCACTAAAGGACATGAACCTGGCTCCATTTCCCTGGCTGCATGGGGGTGTCAGCACCTGAAGCCCTGTGTCTCAGAACCGGGGCCATACCTTCCGTTCCAGGTGCTTATCCAGGCGGGCCAGAGCTTCCGTCTCTCCTCCCTGCCAAACCGCTGGGCCAAGTCCTTCGGTGGGGAACCCTACACGAGGAGCAGCAGGTCACAGGACTGGAGGTCAGGTCAGTCTGCTGACAGCTCAGCAAGTCCTCACCTGCTGTCTGTTCTCTGAGCTCTGTACGAACTGAACTATGGCGTTCTTGGTGCTAACGGGACTAACGCAAAGTGAAGTGAAGTGGCTGTCGTGTCCGACTCTTTGCGACATCATGGACTGTAGACTACCACACTCCTCCGTCCATGGGATTTTCCAGGCAAGAGTACTGGAGAGGGTTGCCATTTCCTTCTCCAGGAGATCTTCCCCACCCACGGATCGAACCTGGGTCTCCCGCATTGTAGGCAGACACTGTACCGTCTGAGCCACCAGGGAAGCCGCTGAGAGACTCCTTACTGTTTCCTCAGTGACGTTTTCTAAGTCATGCAGGTTTTCTTCCCACTGTGACCTCTTCTCTCCTTTCCCTTGCCTCCCTCATCTCAGCCAGGTTTCATTATAGGCAGGTGAGAACAATCCTATAGGGCTGGCCCTGGCAGGTCAGCTGACTACAGCTGTGGTTTTCAGGTGAGAAAGGCTAACTTCGTTCACATCAAAAAAAACTGTGTGATAGGGGAGGAAGGGGAGACAGGCTGACATAGCCCCTTTCATCAGAAGCAATACCAGTTATGTTGGTATTAAGAAGCCCACTGATGCCAACACCAGGCCATGTCTATATTGTCTGAGAGGTAAAAGTACAAAAATAGTCATGAACTAGAAACAGAAGCTGAACATGTGAATATGAACAGGAAAAAAGACCAGAAGGATTGCTGCAAAATTATCAGTGGTAGGTAACTGTGACAGTTATTTCCATTTTCATCTCTCTGTATTTTCTAAAGAGTCCACAATAACATGCATTACTTTGACGAAAAAGAAAAAAAATAGTAAGCTTTTTTTTTTAAATGAAAAAGGAGGTGACAGTACAAGTGTCTCAGGCAGGAGTACGCACCCAGCTCCTCCAGGGAGGGCACACCGTAGGTTTCGTCGTGGTTCTCCTGGATCTCGGCCCGGCAGCCCTCCATCTGCGGGCTGGTCACGGAGCCCACGGGCTTCCTGGGTAGCTCCATGCGGCTGATGATGGCCTGAAAGCGCTTGTAGGTAAGGGGCGGCTTCTGCCCGTTCAGTTCAATGATCCTGGGAATCCCAAAGACGCCTGCTGTCACTCACGAGGCCCTTCGTCTCAGGTCCCTTTCCGCCCAGAAAAGAGCCCAGGCTGCACAGGCTTGGAGGATGGCCTTCCTCATCTGCTCTGGGTCACCCCTGGGGGGAAAGGAGGGGGCAAGGGAGGCTACGTCTCCATGTTACCGAGAGGGAAATGAAGCCCAGATTGCTGGAGCAGATGCCTTGGGAAGAGGAGCAACTCAGGGCCAAAGCTGGGGCTCAATTCCAGGTTCCCTGCTGCCGGTGTGGAGCGCCTAAAGACAGAGACTGACCATATCTCTCTTATCACAGGAAAGTCCCCACTGGCCTTCACGGTCCTTGGCCTGCCTGTCCAAGCCACAGGGTGCCCTGTGGACTGTCTCTACCCCAGCGTAAGCCTCCAGGAAGTCCTTTGATGAGGGCTGCAAATGTGTTCCTTGGTTGGAAACTCCTTGGGCCCTAGTTACTAGAACAAAGAAGTGGGGAACAGCCTGTCCCTCCCTCAATCAGAGGCTCGGGATTTACAGTCACAACTCAACCTTAAAGAGTTTTTTGCAGTTCACAAAGTATTTTTTCATGAGCCCAGGAAACACAGCTGCACTCAGGTAAGAAGAAAAGCTACAGGAGAGTTTAGAGGTGAATTGAGGCTGTTTATGTAAGGATGAATTGGGATGGGCTGGAGCCAGACTCCGGGGCTGTTGACCAAGCAGCAGCTGACAGAAAGCCGGGACTTGCCGGGTGAGTTCATTTCTCAGTTCCTCTCTCCTCCTCTCCATTAGCGGAGGCAGAAGGTTGGCTGCTGCCCCTGCAGTACCTCCCGCCTCCTCCTCTGGCACGTGGCAGGAGGCGGTGCTCCACACCCAGAGCCTCCCGTGAGCAGAGCCCAGCTCACATGCAGAGCTGTGTGACCTGGCCTCCCAGCAGCCACCACCGGTCTAGGGGAGGCGGCGGGGAGCCGCAGTGGCGGCAGCAGTGGAATAGGGATAGCTCTGGCAGGGAAGGAAGGGGAGGAGGGGGTTTCCTCCTGGCCTCTCTGAAAGCACAGGGCCCCGCAGAGATCTCTCAAGCCTCCGGGGCAACACCTAAATTCGAGGCCTAAAAACCTAAGAGCCAGGGGGGCCCAGGGAACGCAGCTGGGGAACAGAGGCTGTGCCTGTGAGAACAGAGATCTACTGGGAGGGTCCACGGACAGGCCCCACTTAGGTCAGACGGCGGTTTCTGAGCAGCAGGATGGAAGCAAGAGTATGTGGGGTGGGTGGGCGGGCCTGGATCGTGTTAGGAGCAGATCTTTGAAGATCCTGCTTGCGTCTCTTGGGCCGAATGAGCTTCTCTGCACCCAAATCGGGTAAGCTCTTTGAGCTGTTCTATGGGCCTCCACTCTGACCTATTCCCCCCCGGCTCTCCCTGCCCCATGTGCCGGGGGCCCTACTGCCGAACCTCCCTGAGTTCCGCTAAGCAGGGGCCCAAACAACCAACTCCCGAAATAGGCAGGCTGAGCCCTGGGACCCATCTCTTACTTGTCCAGGTCGTAGAGAGTATGCGAGTTCTCGGTGACCACCTCCACACCAGCCTCCTTGGCCATCTTCATGATGGCTGCGTCCCGCTCCTTCCCAAAGGGTTCAGAGTCATACTCAAAGGTCAGGCGGGTCACCCCCCATTCCTGTGGGGGGAGAGAATCTGTAATGCTCACCACTGCTGGGGAGAAGGAAGCTGGGCGGGCACTCAGCTCCCTGCCGAGAGGAAACCGAGCACATCGGGAGACCTGTCAGAACAAACTGGGGAAAACAACCTGAAGCAGAAAGCCAACCATCTGAGGGCCATGAGGTTTGAGGAGGGCAGGCCCCTGAGGAGAGGCCAACAGCCCACAACAGTGGAGCCCGAGGCTAGCGGTCCCTGTGGGATCAGGAGAGAGGTGGGCAGCTTTGGGCGCCACCGGCATCCCTGTGGTAGAAGAATGCAGCAGGAGGCTAGAAATACATGCTCCCAAGGGAGCCCCCTGTCCCAGAAAGAGGCACAGGATCGCCACCTCCCGCCCGCTCAGCAGGCCTTTCCCAGAGCTCCTCAGGGCCCTGCAAACTTCTGGCCTAGTTTTCTCAGCAGACTTGGGTGATGTGAAGTGTCCTCACGGTTTCCACGGCAACACTCCTGAGGCCAGTAGCAAACAGAACTAGTAGGCTCCAGCTCTCAGACAGCTGGGAAAGGAGAAGCAGCCCTTGGCCCAGAGGTCAGAGAAACCAGAGCAGAGGGGCCACATGTTTTAAAAGAAGGGAATTCTTTTCCAAGTCTTTAGTCATGTCTGGGAGAAATTTCTGTATTTCCTAGCAGACCTGGGAGAGAGCGGCCCACTGAAAGGCTGTACCCTTTCTGGAACCCACAGAAAGCCCTAGAGCAGGCAAATGGCAGGAGGAAACCACACTCCAACCGAAGTCTCGGCCACAGTCTCTTAAACTCTGAACCCTCGGGGCAAACATCCTGGCTACGCACACGCTGGTCCAATCTTGACTCAGTCCTGCGGGGTGTGGGTCCCGGGCAGAGCTGCTCATCTCTCCTCCAAGGCTAAGGTTAGCACTAAACATTCACTGGGCACTTACTATGAGCCAAGAACTATGCTTAGCAGTTCATAATAGGTTACAAGGTTAAAGCCTCACAACCCTATGAATAATAATAAAAGTGTTATTATTAGATGACACCTTCTCCAAGAAGCCTCCCTGACCCTCTTCAGAAAGCTTCTCCTGCACCTGCCCGTTTCCCATCACAGCAGTTACCATATGGCAGTGAAGCTGACCATTACGTGCCAGCTTCCTCCATTAGTGTGAGTACTCGGAGCAGAGATAGTGTCATCTCACTCTCATCACCCTAGGACCTGGTGTGGGGCCGCGCGCATAGCAGAAGCTTAATAATATACAGAGAATGGACACTGTGTCTGTATCTCGGGGCTATTAGTGGGCTGGCCTCTGAGGTGCTGGGAGGTGGGGGCAATGCGGCAGGGGAAGAGAGGCCCATGTGTTTAATGGTATGGTGGTCACAAACACAGCTCTGAGCTCAGAGCTGGGGCTCAGCTCCCAGACTGCTGCTCTGAGTTTTGCAGGCATGGCCGAACTATTGCTTCCCCGTCTGCAGAACAGGGACAGCGGCCAGGAGTACAGGCATTAACGTACACAGAGCGTGTACCGAGAACAGCGCTTGACTCACAGGCAGCCCCAGTGAAGGCTGGTTCCTACCAGCACTGTGTGATTTGTGCGTGTGTGTCGGTGTGGGGAGGTGAAGTGAACGCTGAAGTATTTACTCAGCTGCCTGCCTTGACATTTAGTCTTTCCTCTTGTCTTTTCCCCCCAGGAAGAATAGGAAAGGAAATAGGGTGCAGACAGGCACAGAAACAATTGTGTGCTGATGTACTAGAGCCCCCTGTTCATGAGCACTTACGCCTCCATTTGGGTCTTAAAAAATGTGTATTATAAAGGGTTTGTGGGGGAAACTGGGCTGGCTACCTGATACAGCAACCAGAGGCCTATGTGGTACTGAAATGAAGATTTTGTCAATCATTTATGGAGGAAGTAGGGACACTCCCTTAAAGAGGCTGATTTTTTTTTTTTCCCAATAAGAAGAGCAAAGCAAGAGGGGAAACTCCCCTAGATAAACAGGAAGCCTCACCCTCAAACTCCTGGCGAAAGAAGAACCCTAACAAATCTTGCTGGCTTGAACCAACAAAATATTTAAGGAAGCCAGGGATATCTGGGGTGAACTAACTTGCCACATCCCATGTCTGAACTAAGCTGGGAACTTTCCAACAAGACACCAGATTCCTTGATTTTTCCCTTAACACAGTTTCCATTCTGTGGGCAGCTGACCAGCTTCATTCGCTCCCAACTTCCCTAGCAGTGCGTGGTCAGCCCATCCCTGACTGTTTCCATTTCCTCAGTCAGAACATCGTCTCGTTCAGTCTGTGGGGAAACCTAGGAGCAGACTCCCACTGTGTCCTGGACTCCGCGCACGTACCTTGAATAGCCTTGGGAACACGTCAGCCGGCTGTCCTCGGACCACAAAGAGGCGGGAGTTCAGCTTCCTTAAGCTTCTGTCCAAATCTTCCAGCGACTGAAGGAGGAACCTGCAGAAGCCACGGAGTCCTTGTTGGTGGTAACATAACAAACAGTCACTCTTTCCTAACAAAACAGGGAGAACCTTGTTTATGCCAAACAAGTAACACGGTTCCCCTGGGTTCTTGTCCAGGCGTGATGTGGTAGGGGGTCAGGGCTGCCTCCGTTGAATCCTGCTTTTGCCATTACTAGCTGCATGACTTTAGGTAATTACTTAATCTCTTTAGCTTCTTCCCCCCTAATCTGTGATACAGAGTTGGTGTTAGTACCTATCTCATAGAATTGTTAAGGAAAGAAAGCCAAATAATGCAGGAGGACAGTTCCAAGTACAGGCCCTGGAAGAGAAAAAACCTGGGGTAAGTGTGAGCTGCTCCTACTTATGCCGTTCCTCGGCGATCAGAGGCAAGTCACTTACTCCCTCTTGGCCTCAGGCCCTGGGTGTAACTATCCACCCATCACTAGGAGGCTGTGAGAATCACAAGGAAGAAGAGATGGGGGAGCCATCTGAGAAGCAAGCGCAGTCCTGTGGTATGCAGCCAGAGGCCGCATCAGCAGAGGAACAAGACTGCAGTTGCCCTGGATGGTGTCACCCACCCTGGGCTGACAGACTCTCTGTCTTTCTTCACTCATGCTGTGGTCTGCGTGGGTGTCTCCTGCCACAGCCCCATGGCCCCGCAGCCTGGGCTAGTCACCACCATTTCATTTGGAAAGCAGCCCCTTCTCCAGGCCTCTCCAGGGCCCTGGCCATCAAGTTCTTGTCCCAAGAGGGAGAGGTGTGTGTCTGTAGGATTCCCTCCCATGCATCCATGGGTGTGGGGGACTCCAGAAACACCTGGCCTGAGGGCTGGATCAACGTGGGACAGGGACAGGAAATGAACATGGCCTGAGAGCTTCCAGCGTCTGCTTACTTTACGCAAAAATTTATTACTTGTACAGCTAGGCAAAGGAGAAAAGGAAAGATACACTCATTTGAATGCAGAGTTTCAAAAGAATAGCAAGCAGAGATAAGAAAGCCTTCCTCAGTGATCAGTGCAAAGACAGACGAAAACAAAAGAATGGGAAAGACTAGAAATCTCTTCAAGAAAATGAGAGATACCACAGGAACATTTCATGCAAAGATGGGCTCAATAAAGGACAGAAATGGTATGGACCTAACAGAAGCAGAAGATATTAAGAAGAGGTGGCAAGAATACACAGAAGAACTGTACAAAAAAGATCTTCACGACTCAGATAATCACGATGGTGTGATCACTCACCTAGAGCCAGACATCCTGGAATGCGAAGTCAAGTGGGCCTTGGGAAGCATCACTACGAATAAAGCTGGTGGAGGTGATGGAATTCCAGTGGAGCTATTTCAAATCCTAAAAGATGCTGCTATGAAAGTATTGCACTCAATATGTCAGCAAATTTGGAAAACTCAGCAGTGGCCACAGGACTGGAAAAGGTCAGTTTTCATTCCAATCCCAAAGAATGCTCAAACTACCGAACAATTGCGCTCATCTCACATGCTAGCAAAGTAATGCTCAAAATTCTCCAAGCCAGGCTTCAACAGTATGTGAACCGTGAACTTCCAGATGTTCAAGCAGGTTTTAGAAAAGGCGGAGGAACCAGAGATCAAACTGCCAACATCCGTTGGATTACCAAAAAAGCAAGAGAGTTCCAGAAAAACATCTATTTCTGCTTTATTGACTATGCCAAAGCCTTCGACTGTGTGGATCACAATAAACTGTGGAAAATTCTGAAAAAGATGGGAATACCAGACCACCTGATCTGCCTCTTGAGAAATCTACATGCAGGTTAGGAAGCAACAGTTAGAACTGGACATGGAACAACAGACTGGTTCCAAATGGGGAAAGGAGTACGTCAAGGCTGTACATTGTCACCATGCTTATTTAACTTATATGCAGAGTACATCAAGAGAAATGCTGGGCTAGATAAAGCACAAGCTGGATTCAAGAGAAATGTCAATAACCTCAGATATGCAAATGACACCATTCATGGCAGAAAGCCAAGAAGAACTAAACAGCCGCTTGATGAAAGTGAAAGAGGAGAGTGAAAAAGTTGGCTTAAAGCTCAACATTCAGGAAACTAAGATCATGGTATCTGGTCCCATCACTTCATGGCAAACAGATAGGGAAACAGTAGAAACGGTGACAGATTTTATTTTTTTGGGCTCCAAAATCACTGCAGCCACGAAACTAAAAGACCCTTACTCCTCGGAAGAAAAGTTATGACCAACCTAGACAGCATGTTAAAAAGCAGAGACATTATTTTGCCAACAAAGGTCTGTCTAGTCAAGGCTATGGTTTTTCTAGTGGTCATGCATGGATGTGAGAGTTAGACTATAAAGAAAGCTGAGTGCCGAAGAATTGATGCTTTTGAAATGTGGTATTGGAGAAGGCTCTTGAGAGTCCCTTGAACTGCAAGGAGATCCAACCAGTCCATCCTAAAGGAAATCAGTCCTAAATATTCATTGAAAGGACTGATGTTGAAGCTGTAACTCCAACAGTTTGGCCACTTGATGCGAAGAGCTGACTCACTGGAAAACACTGTGATGCTGGAAAGATTGAAGGCAGGAGGAGAAGGGGATGACAGAGGATGAGATGGTTGGATGGCATCACTGACTCAATGGACATGAGTGTGAGTAAACTCTGGGAGTTGGTGATGGACAGGGAGGCCTGGTGTGCTGCAGTCGATGAGGTCGCAAAGAGTTGGACATGACTGAGCGACTGAACTGAACAGCTAGGCGTGATCACCTTTCTGAGAAACTCATCAATACTTTTTTTTTGGTGGCAGTGGGTGGGAGGGCCGCATACCACAGGGCATATGGGATCTTAGTTCTCTGACCAGGGATTGAACCTGTGCCTCCTGCATTAGAAGTGTGGAGTCTTAACTGTTGGGCTACCAGGTAAGTCCCCATCAATACATTTTATGACATCTATTTTATCTTCAAATTAACATTTTAAATAGATTAACTATTCATGTGATTCAGAATTCAAGTTATAAAAGGGTACACAGTAAAAAGGTCTCCTTCTCCTGCAACCCCCTGGGAATTTCATCCTCCTCTCTAGAGACAACTAATGTTATCAATGCTATTATATACCTGGGATGCTTTTTAAGTGCATTTTCTTTTGAATTGTCTCAACACATTTTGAAGGAAAATACTACCCTTGTTTTATAAATGAGGAAAATGAGCTACAGAGAGGATAATAAATTTGCTGAAGATCACAATTATTGGAGACAGGTTCCTAACCCACACTCTTGGTCAGACTCAAACCATGTTTTCTTCCTTAAGTTTTCTAGCGGCATATCAGACACTGCCCCGGGGGCTGAGATTCTTGCAAGCTCCCGTGTGTTTTGACGAACATACACCCGACTCCAGGTGATCCACTGACCTGCTCTTCCACAGGAAAGAGGCCCTGGCAGGTGAGCTTGGTTCACAGCCACCTCCTGCTATCTACCCTGGGTCTCCCACCCAGGCCCGTCAACTATGGGAGTCACTAGAGTTTATTCTGAGCACAATGAAACGCAGGGCTCCTCCGAAGCACGTTCCCTTGACTGTGGGAGTCTTACAGAAGCATCGACTATTCTCAGGCTGCCAACTAGAACCAGGCCCCCTGCCGCCTCTGATGTCTACGATATGACACTCCCAGGTGGTTAATGCCACAGATCCACATTCCGGCATGAGCTGACTCCTGGGCTCAGCCTGAAGCATCGTGCTGGCTGATGAGCAGGCAGGGACTCTCCGAGGGGTTGCGATGGGAGACTGACAGGCTGAATGCTGGTCTCCACAAAGCCAGAGCTCCGCCTCTGCGAATTTCTATTTTTGAGCACTGACACGCTTAGAAAAGGAAAGCTGAGACAGAGTGACGTACTTGCACTTGCGCTGGCCTCCTCTCAGGAGGAAAATATGAGAGATTGTTTCCATGCCACCTGCACCCTGCCAGGTAGGATGCCTAGGGATAACTGGCAACTTAGACCCCACAACCTCAAGACAGAGGGTCCTCCTCTGCAGCTCCCAGAAATGTACCTGCCTTGCACCTGGGGGCCCATATCTTTCACAATCCACTAGGCTGCACAGGACATTGGAGCTACAAACAGGACTGGCATGCACATGAAAATGAGGTTCCAGCTGCCTTCTGTAGACTTTATTTCCAGACCTCATGTATTTATTTGGCTGCAAGGGGTCTTAGGTGCCGCACGATCTTCACTGCACCGTCTTTTGTTTCAGCGCATGGACCCTCTAGTTGTGGTGTGTGGGCTCTAGAGAGAGCAAGCTCAGTGTTGTAGCCCCCGGACTTAGTTGCTCCATGGCATGTGGGATCTTAGTTGCCCAACCAGGGATTGATCCACAGTATGTTCCTTGCACTGCAAGGCGGATTCTTAACCACTGGACCACCAGGGAAGACCCCAGATCTCATTGATCAAAAGGAGAGATTCCTTGCAGCACCTCTGAAGTACAGATGACCCAATGAGAACCCTTTTCATTTTTGACAAGAGAAGTCTACAGCCAAGGCAGGCGGCAGAAGACAGGACTCCGAACTCAGCAACCAAATGACAGTAACAGCGGCAGTGAACCAGGTACTCTTCTCCCTGGAGGAGGAAACGGCAACCACTCCAGAATTCTTGCCTGGAGAATTCCATGGACAGAGGAGCCTGGTGGGGTACAGTCCATGGGGTTGCAAAGAATCAGACAGGACTGAGCATGCATGCACAGGTACTATTCTACTTGCTTTACATACTTCACCTCATTTAATTCTCATTTTACAGCTGAGGAAAACTGAGGCACAGAGAGACTAAGTAATGTGTGTAACATCATTCACCTAACGAATAGCCAGAATTCAAGCCCAGACAGTGTGGCTTGGTGTCTGCATTCGTAACCACCAGGCTCCACTGACTCTGAACCAGGACTCACCCCTGAGCACTGAGGCTGTGCTGCCAGGGACGCGGCCATCAGAGAGCACCAGAGCTCAACTCATAGGCCAACACTTTGCTACCAAATCCTGGTTCC